TAAAAACTTTTTATCTAATAAAAATATCAAAAAACTTTTCAAATAAAATTTGTAGGTATTTTAATTCTAAATAAACATTGCTTGAAACATTTTTTTATTCATCTCATAATTATTGACATAACCTCAAAAATTTCAATTTTTATAACAGTAAAGAGCGCCATCTAATGGAGGAATTAAGATTTTGAATTTATAATGATATTCTGGAACATATTTTAAATTAATGTTATAAGAAACATTATTCGATAAATATAATAATTAGCTTTAATTGTAAAAATGTTTTTTTGATACTGTTCAGCGGGAAATTAAAAACTTTTTATCTAATAAAAATATCAAAAAACTTTTCAAATAAAATTTGTAGGTATTTTAATTCTAAATAAACATTGCTTGAAACATTTTTTCATTCATCTCATAATTATTGACATAACCTCAAAAATTTCAATTCTTATAACAGTAAAGAGCGCCATCTAATGGAGGAATTAAGACTTTGAATTTATAATGATATTATGGAGCATATTTTAAATTAATATTGTAAGAAACATCTTTCGATAAATATAATAATTAGCTTTAATTGTAAAAATGTTTTTTGATACTCTTCAGTGGGAAATTAAAAACTTTTTATCTAATAAAAATATCAAAAAACGTTTCAAATAAAATTTGTAGATAATTTAATTCTAAATAAACATTGTTTGAAACATTTTTTGATTCATCCCATAATTATTGACATAACCTCAAAAATATCAATTTTTATAACAGTAAAGAGCGCCATCTAACGGAGGAATTAAGATTTTGTATTGATAATATTATTCTGGAACATATTTTACGTTAATGTTGTAAGAAATATTTTTCGATAAATATAACAATTAGCTTTAATTGTAAAAATGTTTTTTTGATACTCTTCAGTGGGAAATTAAAAACTTTTTATCTAATAAAAATATCAAAAAAATTTTCAAATAAAATTTGTAGGTAATTTAATTCTAAATAAACATTATTTGAAACATTTTTTGATTCATCCCATAATTAATGACATAACCTCAAAAATATCAATTTTTATAACAGTAAAGAGCGCCATCTAATGGAGGAATTAAGATATTGTATTAATAATATTGTTCTAGAACATATTTGAAAGCAATATTATAAGAAACATTTTTCGATAATAACAATAATTAGCTTTAATTGTAAAAATGTTTTTTTGATACTCTTCAGTGGGAAATTAAAAACTTTTTATCTAATAAAAATATCAAAAAACTTTTCAAATAAAATTTGTAGCTACTTTAATTCTAAATAAACATTATTTGAAACATTTTTTGATTCAACAAATAATTAACGAGATAATTCTTCTTATGATGAGACTTTGAAATGGGTGAAGTGGGAAATAAGTGAGAAATGCGTCCAAGAAAAGTAAAACTGATCTCTCGCGGTCGGCGTTACGTAAGGCGCCGTCGTCCGCCAAGAGGGGCCACCTTTTGTGTTGCGGTGGTCGTTTTTCGTTGGACTAGATATCGAAGAAAGTTTCTAATAAGAACCAAACTAAATAAAGGTTACACGAATTCCTCTACACATTAGTTCACTTTATTTATCAACATTTATTTATCATAGCAAGAAATTTCGATTCTTTAAACCGTGACAAACTCTTTTCCACTATTCATTATGCAAACAAGAAGAAAGAAGCTTTAGAGGTCGAAGGTTGTATACTTGACCTTTTTTCCAAATCTAATTTTTATTAAGTTTATTAATTTTACTTTTCGAGAAATAAAAAGCAAAATAAAGGACTGTCCTTGACCGTGAAGTTGTTGGTTTCATCGTAGATGAAAACATGATGTTCGGGGCGAGATGAGATGAGATGAAGAAGGAAGGAATAATAATAACGGTCTGGGCAAACGGAACTTTTCCAATCCGGAGGCCGATCCCCCGGAGAATTCCGTTACCGTTATTAGGTGAAAAGAAAATCAACAACATTTAATCGAGAAGAAAGAGAGCGAAATTAATTCATTAACTACGTTTTAAAAAATATATTTTTTTTTTGATTTTTGGTTTAATTTGATGTGTTAAGAATGCAAGAACAGGTAAAGTGAAGAAGAAAGTGAAGACTTAAAAGATGTTGTCTAAGGTCCACGAAAAAAAGACTTGACTTGAATGTTCAATTAACCTTAACCTTCCTTTAAGTTATACGAAAATTAAAATTCGATTCAAATTTTTGAAAAAAGGAGAAAAATAAATAAAAAGAAAGCGAAAGTGTTAAAATGAGGACATCATTTTTCCCTTAATTTCCAATTTTTTTGCTTATTTGATGATTTAGTAAACGATTTAAGAACGGTGAACGTGGTTTTCTAAGAATTAAAAACAATAAAAGGAAAGAAAAAGAATCGTTTTGACCCAATTAGTCTTAGTTTCGAAATTGATTAAAAAAAATTAATAATAAATCAAAATTAAAATCGAAACTTAAAACAAAAAATTACTTTAAGTTAATCCTTTCACTAAATTCTCGAAGTTTCCGAGTCATCGTGATTTTTGATTTATTAATGTAACAACAAAAAAAAATGATTTTTTATTATTTTTTTTTAAATAATTAATTTTTTTCGTGGGGAAATGAGATACAGGATGGTTTCGCATCAACGTCGTCGCGCCGTTCTCACTCAACAGTTCGTATAAAGAGCGGCTAACGGAGTCCGAAGTGGCCATTCGCGTGTCGAACATTCGACCAGAACATCTCCGAGAAGAAAAAAATTAATTTGTGATAAAAATGGTAACCCTAAACCCCGCATTTTCGATCATTTCGGTCCTCCTCTTCGTCGTATTCGTCGTTTTCGTCGCAACGAGGCGAAGAAAAAGCAAAGAAATTACCGCATCGTTATCGTCATCCTCAATTCTTTACGTCGAAGAAGAAGAAAGCGATTTAAAAGAACCCAAATCGCCGATTTCGCTCCCGATAATCGGGCATCTCCACTTATTGGGTGGTTACGAAGTCCCTTATCAAGCGTTTTCGGAGATTGGGAAGAAATACGGGGATGTGGCAAGATTAAAACTCGGCGGGGTGAGAAGCATCGTCGTTAATGGGGCTTTTAATGTTAAAGAAGTTTTGGTCACGAAGGGGCACCACTTCGATAGCAGACCTGATTTTAAAAGATACCAATTACTCTTCAGCGGAAACAAACAAAACTGTAAGTTTATTTATTTATTTATTTATTAAATTGGGTTAAGTTCAAATTTTCGCTGACACAACTCGTGTTAATTTTAGCTTTGGCGTTTAGCGATTGGTCATACTTGCAAAAATCGCGCCGAGATATGCTGAAATCGTTCGCTTTTCCCCGCGCTTTCACCCACAAATTCTACAGCTTAGAATCGATCATAATCGATCAAACCCAAATTTTAATCAAACAACTCGAATCGGGGAAAAACGCGAAAAAAATCATCCTCCACACATGCGCCAACATCTTCACCAACCACTTTTGCTCCAAAGACTTCAAAATCGACGATTTCGATTTCACCAAAATGATCGAGAACTTCGACGACGTCTTCTACGAGGTTAATCAAGGCTACGCCGCCGATTTTTTACCCTTCTTATTGCCGTTCCACACGAAGCGATTAAAACACATGAACGATTTGACTCATTACATCAGGAATTTTATCTTGGAGAATGTGATTTGCGAAAGATTCGAGAATTTCGGGGTTGAGGATGAGCCGATCGATTACGTCGAGAGTCTTATCAAGCAGGTTAAGTTCGGGGGGGAGCCCGAATTGAAATGGGACACCGCGTTGTTCGCCTTAGAAGATATAATCGGGGGGCACTCCGCCATAGGGAATTTTTTGCTAAAAATGTTGGGGTACTTAGTCAATGAGATAGACGTGCAAAAAAAGATCCAAGAAGAAATCGATTTCGCCACTAACACAGGAAATAAAAACAAATTTAGGAAAGTCTCGATTTCGGATCGAAATTTGATGCCTTACACCGAATCCGCGATTTTAGAAGCAATCAGATTAATCGCATCACCAATCGTACCAAGAGTTGCTAATCAAGATAGTTCAATCAACGGTAATACAACAATATTTTATTTTAATTCATTAATTTTTATTATATAATATATATATAATATTTTATTTATATATATTTTTAAATATATTTATATA